ATTTTTATTTCAATTTTTAATTTTTTTCGTCGCGCTGTGATGACGTCAAATGCGCGCTTTCGTCGATCGCACTTTTGTGGACCGCAGTTTTGACGGGTCACGCTTCACAAAAAGGAAGGAAAGTCCAGGAAATGCATGAAAAGGACGCAGCCCTTTGCCAGCTGCTGCTTTCCAGATGTGCTGGACTTTGGTTCTGACCAGCCCAAGCCCTTGAGCCTTGTGGGCCACCCTCCACCACCCCCCCCGAAGGCCATAGGTTGCACACCTGCGAAGGCTCACCTGCGTTAGGAAAAAGGTGTCCCATTTGAGATGACTTTTGTTTCCTCGTAATGTTTTGTTTTATTGAATTAGCTTCTTTAATCATCATTAAAGAATGATTGGGGGGGGGGGCTGCCCTGTTTTCGCATGAATTGTTTCATTGATGAATATGCAGTGGGTTCCTTGGGGGAGCTACCCAAAAAGACCCCTTGCAAATTCAGATGGGACGAATAAGCATCCATGCCTGGAGACCAGAAACGCTGAGGATTTTGTTTTTATCCAAGGGGGGGTCATTTTATTTGCCCCCAGGGCAAAGAAAGTCCTGGAATAACTCCAGGGTGGAGCCCCCTCTTAATGGAAGGCAGGAGATTCTGATCACGACATATATATATAGAAGCCTGGCCAAGGAAATGCCGTATTTCCCCCACAAATATTTACTTTTCCTCTGCAAATAAAGCTTAGGCTGCCCCTGAACCCATCAGCTGATGTCAGCCGCTGCTTAATGGGAGGCCTGATCCTGCCCTCCTCAGTCCTCCCCCAAACGGATCTCCTCCCTGTGGCTGTGTGTCTCCGGGGGCTCATCGGCCCTGTGCAACGAAGGGGTTTGGGTGACTCACCAGGCAAAGTCGCTCCTGCCCCAGCGGGTGACTCGACCGCTTTGATGTCGTTACCGTAGTGGTTGACGTGGGGATGGAGCCGCCCTTCGGGGTGGGCTGAGGGCAGCCGGAGGCCGAAGCGCCAGGGAGGCCCCTGCACTGGCATTGTGGGGAGCCCAGGAGGGATTGCCATAGGAACGGCCTCTCGCCTCTCCGCTTGGGAGATCGGAGGACAAGCCCTGCCGTGTCCTCATCCGGGTCATCTCGGCCACGGCGGCCGGTTTCCAGCCTCGGACGAACTTTGGGGTCACCCTGCCCGAAGGCTTTGAGCCAGGAAGGATCCGTTTCACTTTACCTTCATGAAAACCGGATTCATCTTTGGTCACCCTGGCCTGACTCCCGACAGTGTCCTTCGTAACGGTCGCATGAAGAGGTCGGACTGCCCGTGTTCCCCCCCTCCCCGAGTGGTCCTTGGGAGCTGCAGCCGCCTGTGCTTGGTGGGCCCTTCCGTGCTTCCGTCCGAGGCCTCGTGCCGGGAGAGGAAGGCCAGGCTGTGGGGTGGCATCTCTGGGGCGGCTGGCATTTCAGATGCCCTCGCTCACAAGTCTCGGTGAAGGCTTCTCTGCAGTCTCTTTCCATCCGAATGGCAGAGCCTCCGTTTCCCCTCCTCCCATCTCCTCCTCCTGCGGAGAGAAGGGGCTTCTCCTCTTGAATTTTTATTTCATTTGTATGCCGCCCTTTCCCCCCCCCCCGAAGGGGGACTCAGGGCGGCTCACAACTCAAACCAGGGAAGGGGGATACAGACAAATTAACAACAACACAAAACAATACATAATTTAAAACGCGCAACAGTCATACCATTTGAGATGGGGGCAACGGCTCTTTAGCCCCAGGCCTGTCGGAACAGCCAGGTTTTAAGGGCTTTGCGGAAGGCCTGGAGGGTGGTGAGGGTGCGAATCTCCACGGGGAGTTCGTTCCAGAGGGTGTGGCTGGGTATTTGTGGCCGGGCTGCCCCTCACAAGCTCCCGGCCATCTGTGCGTCTTTCATGGCTCGGACTCCTCGGGCCTTTTAGTCCTGGAGGGACAGGCGCCGGAGATCACAGCCGGTGCTGGGTTTGGAGGCATATCCTGCCTGGGATCCGGTCTCCTCCTTCTCCCCCAATCACACACAAACCGTGGCTTGTTTGCCTCCTAGGATTCCTGCTGTTCCGAGACTTTTGCCAGAATGACATGGACGAAGGGATTCCTCAGCTGAGGTTTTACGAAGAGGTAAAGGGAGCCTGGGCTGCCTTCCCCAGTCTCCCGGGAGGCTGGAGGGGTTTTCTTTTTAAGTGAAGAATGGGGTCTTACTACGTTGGAGGGATTGGTGGAGTAACGGCCCATTTAGGCCCTGAGTAAATCTGATCAGAGGAGCACAGAGCCTCCACACTCACCTGTTGCTCCGTGAGTCACATGGCAACCTGGGTTTTGAGGAGGGATTCACCCCAGCTGTCAGGTAACCCAAGGGGGGGGGATTTCTCGGGATGGCTTTCAAGATGTTGGGTAGCCTGGTCTTGTGGATGGCAGCCCCTCCTCCCCCCCCCAAGCCCCTCCTCCCGCTCTCTGCGTGGATGCAGACCTGATGCAAACCCAACCGGACTTTTCCATGGAAACTGATCAGAGGAATAAGCAGATGGAGCCGAGTCCGTTTTAAGCTAAGAGGCTTGATGGCCACTCGAGAGCCTCCGGCCTGTCCTCCAGGACAAGGGGGGCTTCTAGGGTGTTCCCCAAATAGTCTAGGGTGGGTCAGAAAGGGCAGCATCGTTTGGAGGGCCAGACTAGCGGATCTCTGGCTCCCTGGAAGCTGATGGTGGCTCCAGAGGGACCAGACCGGTCTTGGAGGAAGAGGAGGAGGGGAGGCCCTTTTAGGCTTCCGGTCGGCCCTGCAAAGCGGCTCACCAGCCCGGGATCTAAGCACAGGGGAGGGCAGATCTGGGGTCTGCTGGCTTAACGCCCCTCCCCTCCCTTCAAGGGGCTTTCATTGAGTCTTGAAACTCATTTCCCAAATGCGCCTGCCCACCCCCCCAGCTTTCCCCAGTGGGACCCAGAGGTGTTGCCCCCCCCGTGGTCGAGAAGGGCCTTGGGCAGCACCTGGCCTTGACCCCTTAGCCCTGTTGGGTCTTGCAGATCAAAGAGTACGAGAAACTGGACTGCGAGGAGGACCGTCTCACCAGGAGCCGCCAAATCTACGACACCTTCATTATGAAGGAGCTGCTGTCCTGCTCCCACGTGCGTATGGGCAGCCGGGCCCCGGGGGGGCCTGCCCCCTTCCGCCCACTCAAGGAAGGTCCCCGTGGGGCTCGGCTCGGCTTGGGGCGGTTGGGACTCTTGCCTGAAAGGGTGCAGAGGGGCCCCCGGCCCTGCTGCTGCGAACGTTCCCAGGGGGTCTCTGTCCCCAGAATAGCTGAAGGAATAAGTCGGAGCCTTTTCCCTCCAGCCCTTTTCAAAACAAGCTGTCAGTCACGTGCAGACCCGCCTGGCCAAGAAGCAGGTCCCCATAACCCTCTTCCAGGTGAGTGGGGGGGGGTTGTTCCTGTCCTTGCGGAGTGACAAGTTGAATAAATCCAAAGTGGGCAGAAATCAAGGCGTGGTTAAGGTTTTGTTCCAGGAGAGAGACGGCCTTGAAGGGCTAGATCAGGGTTTCCCAATTTGATTGTCTTAAGACGTGTTGAATTCTGAAGCCCATCATCCTCAGCCAGTGCAGGCAGAGCCCCAAGTGATTCCCCAGATTGGGGAAAGTTGATTTTAATCTTGGGTTTGTGGTATGGAAGCCAGTGTGGTTTGGATAATTGCATTTTTCTTGGCTTTCCCCCCTTCCCTCCCCTCCCCCCCCCATAGCCCTACTTAGAAGAAATCTGTGAGAGCTTGCGAGGAAACATCTTCCAGCTGTTTCTGGAAAGGTAGGGCTTCCTTCTCTGCAAGCCCCATGGCCCCCCCCATGGCCCCCGGGGGTCTCTGCAGGATCAGCTCCTACAGAAGGGAGGAGGAGGAGAGGGCCGCTGGGGACGAGATGCTTGCTCTGGGGGGGGGTGTAAGATGTAGCTCAGCTGGGGGAACCTCCGTGGGCCTTCTCCAACATGGGGCCCTTCCGGAAAAGTTGGCGCTACTTGCACACCCCAGATGCTTTGTGCAAAATGAACAACTGTAACCGTTGCGTTGTATCGGGGAGATTCTACAAAGAGACTCTTCAGAAAATAAGCATTCTCTTGTTTTTAAATTAAAAACAAGGCTGTTGAGTTCTCTGAATTACAATGTTCGGTTTTTCCCCCCCCTCAGGAGTTGTTTCAGCACTTTTAAAAATGCATTTCAAATAGAATCTTAGGGGATTAGGAAATACAGAAGCTTGGTCTTATTCTGGCAGCGATTTGTGCTGGAATCTCTCCTGCCTTTTAGAGGAAGCATCATAAACAACTCTCCTTCCAGGGCAGCCGATTAGGAAGAAACGGCTGATCAAGAGACATTTATAAACTCAGAAACTTGGTTTTGTTTTTCCAGGAGAGAGTTTTGTTTTTATTGTGGTCGTGGACTGTAACTTCTCCCCCTCTTTCTTATTTCCAGTGATAAGTTCACCCGATATTGCCAGTGGAAAAATGTCGAGCTGAACATTCATGTAAGTATTTTCTGACCTTGGAGGTGTTTTCCTGGCGTTTTGCTGGGTGTTGTGTGAAGGGCATCGCTGAGGGTTATGCAAACAACAAACTCTTATCTTGGAGGGGCTGAATGTGATCCAGAAACACTCTTTGGCCAAGTACTAGTTTTGGGTGGCCCCCACAGAGTTCAATCTGCTTTAAGTGTTCGGCATGTCATGATGCTTTGCAAAGTTTTAGTGCACCTGTGAAGTCGAGCAGCTCAGGGGGGGTTGAGTGGTTCTAGATCGTCCCCTCTCTTCTCTCCACAGCTGACCATGAATGACTTCAGTGTCCATCGGATTATCGGGAGAGGCGGCTTTGGAGAAGTCTACGGCTGCCGTAAAGCCGACACGGGGAAAATGTCAGTTGTGTTGCCCGCGTGTAGGATGAGAGAAACGTGTATTTTCCCAGATCAAACCATTAGAAATCAGAGCGGTTGGGGGGTTACTGCCTGATGCATTTAACGCCCCCCCTCCCCAGTGCTCCAGATGTTGGAGGAAGATTTTCTCTTTGAAAGGAGATCTTCCCCTCCTTGTGTGACTTGGGCTTCAACTGTGCCCCATATGCATGAAAAGGCAACCAGTTGCTTCACTGGGGGAAGGCTGGCTGTACTGGGGCTGCTCGCATGGACTCCCTCCGTGCAGTCAGCAGCATGGGAGCCAGACCTCTGGGAGGGGCATGGGGGTTGCGCGCACCTTCTGAGGGGCTCCCAGTCAGGGCAAGTCGGCCTGAGCTTTGAACGGAGAGCGCGGTGGCTGTGCCGGAAATCCCCGGCTTTAATCCTTTTAATTCATAAACCAGCAAATTGCTGAGCGAGTCCTGGGAAGCCCCTGGGAGCAAACGAGGACGCAGCGCTGGCCTTTTGGTTAGAACAGTGTTTCTCAACCTTGGCAACTTGAAGATGCCCGGACTTCAACTCCCAGAATTCCCCAGCCAGCATTCGCTGGCTGGGGAATTCTGGGAGTTG